ACAGCATCTTACATCTTTTAAAAATGCATTTACTTGAAAGGCAGTCAAAGAGGGAGAGTCAGAGGCTGCAACAGCCGGAGCTGAGCAGAGACAAAGCCAGGAGCCAGGAACTTCTTCGAAGTTTCCCATGTGGGTGCAGCGGCCCAGGCACTTGGGCCATCTTTGGCTGGTTCCAAAGGTGCATTAGCAAGGAGCTGGATTGGAACTGGAGCAGCCAGGACTCGAGCAAGCATCCATATGGGGTGCTGGCACTGCAGGCAGTGGCTTTACTTACTACACCACGGTGCCGGCCCCCTAAGCAGTGTCTTAACCCACCCCATGTTGATGGGCTGTGATCCTTGGCCACCATCAGTTTGTCCCCTTCTTCTCCCTGGGCTGCAACTCTGAGGCTGTTCAAGGGTGTTGGTGGCAAGGTAGGTCAAACCTTGTCCAGGAAATCCCAGTGGGAGGCATCCATTGTAGTGAAAACAGGGTGATTCTAACACTCATCCAGAAAATGTAGACAAACTCTACTGTTCTGCGAAACTAGAGAGACAGGAGACACTCGTCTCAGCAGAGGGGAATACCTCACTGAAGGACCAGAGTGGGAGGGGACCGAGCCAAAGCACTCCTGAGTGGAACTGATAAGGAAAGCCCAGGGGGTCACCGTGACAACGGGGTAGTCGCAACAATTTCAGGACAACTTGGTAGCAATGTGGGATTAAAAGATGCCTACTGGGGGCCGGCGCTGTGACGTAGCAGGTAAAGCTGCCGCCTTCAGTGTCCGCATCCCATATGGGTGCCGGTTCGAGACCTGGCTGCTCCACTTCCAATCCAGCTCCCTGCTATGGCCTGGGAAAGCAGTAGAAGATGGCCCAAGTCCTTGGGCTCCTGCACCAGTGTGGGAGACCCGGAAGAAGCTCCTGGCTCCTGGCTTCGGATCGGTGCAGCTCTGGCCATTGCGGCCATCTGGGGAGTGAACCAGTGGATGGAAGACCTTTCTTTGTGTCTCTGCCTCTCTGTAACTCTGACTTTCAAATAAATAATATCTTTTTAAAAAGCTGCCTACTTAGGGGCTGGCGCTGTGGCATAGCTGGTAAAGCCACCGCCTGTGACACTGACATCCCAAAGGAGCACTGGTTCATGTCCTGGAGGCTCTACTTCCCATGCAGCTCCCTGCTAACCCACTTGGGAAAGCAGCAGAGGATGGTGGCCAGAGTGCTTGGGCCCCTGCACTCACGTGGGAGACCCAGAGGAAGCTCTTGGCTCCTGGCTTCAGTCTGGCCCAGTCATCTGGGGAATGAACCAGCAGATGGAAGATCTCTGTAACTTTGCCTTTCAAATAAATAAGAAATAAATCTAAGAAGAAGGAGGAGGAAAAGGAGGAGGAGAAGAAAGAAAGAAAGAAAGAAAGAGAGAGAGAGAGAGAGAGAGAGAGAGAGAGAAAGAAAGAAAGAAAGAAAGAGAGAGAGAGAGAGAGAGAGAGAGAGAGAGAATGCCAAGATTTGGTGCCAAGAGCTGGACAGGGGAGGCCAGAGGGCTCCAGGGGGGACCTCAGGGAGGGGTTGCTGGGAGGGGGGAACTCAGGAAAGGAGTGGGGCTCAGGGAGGCTCACAGATGGGGTGCAGGGAGGGGAGAGAGCTGGGGAGGGAATGGGGAGCCAGGGAAGGGGAGAGAGATCAGAAAGAGGGGCTCCAGGGTGGACAGGGAGCTCAGGGGAGCAGGGGGTTTTGGAGCAGCTCAGTGGGAAGGTAGAGGGCCCTCCATGGAGTGGGCTTGAGTGGCAGGGAGGGGACATCAGGGAGGGGGAGGGGACTCCGGAGGGGCACCAATGGAGCTGTCCCCCAGCATGCAAATAGAGTTCGGGCAAACTCAGGCACAGGGATGAGCCCCAGAGAGGGTCTGGGGCCGGTGCAGGGACCCAGGCCCATCCCATACTCCTTCTCTACCCCCTGGGCCTGGGCCCTACGCCTGGGGCCCCTCCCCTCTCGGACCCAGCCGAATGTGGGGGCCGGGCCGAGCCCCCGCCGAAAGAGGGGGTTAAAGGTGAGCGCGCACGAGCGGGCGGGGATTGGCAGGCGCCGGAGCCCACAGCCCGGGCCAGGGCCGCTCCACGGGACTCCAGCCGCCTGAACGGCTGCCACCCACGTGCTAAGGGGAGAAGGAGGCACCGGATCAAGGGGCAAAGGACACCCCGGAGCGGGGCGGGCGGCACGGGCAGTGCCCGCGTCCACACCCGCGGCGCAGTGCACCCAGGCCCCTGCCGCCGGCGCAGGGGTGTCCGGAGCATCCCCAGCGCCCAGACACCGCGCGATCCACGGGGAGCGGCGGGAAGTCCCTCCGTGAACAGGTGAGTGTAGGTGTGCGGGCCTCCACTGCCACCTATCCAATGGCCAGGGCTCAGCTGGGCTGATGGGGTCCACACCCTTGTGTATCCGCGCCTCGCTCAGGCCCAGAGGCTAGGGCCCCCTCGCCCGCGGAGGAATTTGGATCAAGAATGCAAAAGCGAGGTCACCCACGCAGGTGCCTGGGCTGAGTTGGGCTGGGTTCACAGGGCTTGCCCCGGAGCTGAGCGCCGGCTCCCGGAGGCAGGAGGGGGAACCTTCTGCTCTGGCTCCCCAGCCCTGCACGGGTGTAGGCGCCAGGGGAGCAGCGGAGCTCAGGGGGGGCGCTGGGCTGGGCAGGAGGCGCCAGGTGTGCAGGTGGGGCCTGTGGATTCCCGGCCACCGGGCTTCTAGCACCTGTGCAGGGTTCGGACGGGTGGCTCTGGCTGGGTGGGCCGGGGTCTCCTGCCTGCTCCCAGTGCCCCCTGTGCCTGCCGAGACCCTCCTGGTGGGGGAGGTGCTGGGGTCGGGCCAGGGCTGGGTGCGGGAGCTTTCAGTTCTTGTCGGTTTCTGCTCTGCACTCCTGACTTCCTTTCTCTGAGCATGTCTTTCCCTTGGTGACGGTTCCGTGGAGACGGGGACAGGATACAATGAGACATTAGGATGCTTTGGAGGCCTGGGTGGCCCTGTGCCAACCGTAGTCCCCTCTGGTCCTTCATAAGGCCGATATTACAAGGTCAGCTGAAGCAGGTGCAGCAGTGTGTGTGTGTGTGGGGGGGGGAGTTGGGAGGACCGGGTTCTAATCCAAGCCTCCATCTTGCCCCCCAAAGTCCACTTATATTGAGCCATGGTTCTGCCCCGTCTCTCGCCCAATTCTATGGGCCCAGGGGAAGGCTCTGGGTAGGGGTCCAGGAATCCCATGCCCACCCCAGGGAGGTCCAGCTCCTCAACCTCCTACAGGGGAAATGGGGAAGAGAACAGAGACCGCGGCTGACCACCCCTGAGCCGTGGCGAGCAGACTCTGCCTTCTCTTGAGAGGTTGGTCCTTGGATCATCCCTCAAGACCCCCAAAGGACCAAGGCTCAGGCTGGGCTCAGGGCTCCACCTGGGGCCCTGGTGGGACAGCGTTTGAGAGCCAGGATCAGGGACAGGGCTGGGGTCTTGGGCTCCCGGGACTGAAATCGCTGGGCTTGTGAGGAGTGTCCTGGGTGGAGGCGATGCTTATGGACCCGGTGTGGAAGCAGGTGGCATGGGCTCTGGCCAACAGCAGGGGGGCACGGGATTGAGGGGTCCACGAGCCACACCTGCCCAGGGGCTGCCCACTCTTCAGACAGAGCCCTCCCCGGGCCCTCTCCCCAGACAGCCCTTGGCCCCACGCTGGGTGGACACAGGTCCTGGGCTGTGATGGGGCTGTAAGGGGCTGGGAGATGCCCTCCTCAGCACAGTTCTCACTCCCTCTCGGGACCAAGGAAGGGCTTTCAGCCCCAGTGGGACGCAGAGAAGGGAGGGAAGAGGGAGGGACAGAATTCCTGGGTAGCCCCTCAGAGCCGGACACTGCATGGCGTTTTCTTGGCCCTGTGTCTTTCTCGCCAATCACCTGTAAGGGAAAAAATTATTACTTCCACTTTCTGGAGAGACCCAGAGAGGTCAAGGTACTGGCTCAAGGTCACACAGCCTAAAAGAAACAGGACTGGGATTCAAACCCAGGCAGCCTGATTCCAAAGCTCTCGGTTTCTGCTCCTGCTGCTGTTGCTTTGAAAGGTGGAGATTGGGGGTGGGGGAGCTATTTTCCATCCATCAGTTTACTCCGCCAAATGGCTGCATTGGCTGGGGCTTGACCAGGCCAAAGCCAGGAGCCAATCCAAAGCCAGGAGCCAGGAACCTCTTCCGGGTCTCCCACATGGGTGCAGGGGTCCCAAGCACTTGGGCCATCTTCCGCTGCTTTCCCAGGCACATTAGCAGGGAGCTGAATTGGAAGTGGAGCAGCTGGGACTTGAACTAGCGCCCATAGGGGATGCGGCATCTCAGGCCTTGGCTTAACCCGCTGCACCATGAGGCTGGCCGCAGCACCTGGATTTTAACATACCCCGAGGGTTGTCTGTGAAGGAAGGAGAGGAGAGTGTGGGAAGGAAGAAAGACTTCCACACTTAGCACACAGTGTTGGCTCCCGCTTCTGTAAGGGAGTAAGGTAGATGCAGCACCAGCTCCCCAGCACTCCCCAGGGCGCCCTCAGATGCAGAAGCTGAGATCCTTGTGGAAACAGCGGGTGACCTTACACACATCCTCCCAGGTGCAGGGGCCCAAGCACTTGGGCCGTCTTCCACTGCTTTCCCAGGCCACAGTAAGGAGATGGATTGGAAGAGGAGCAGCCGGGATTCCAACCAGCGTCCATATGGGATGCCATCGCCGCAGGCAGAGGCTTAGCTCACTATGCCACAGCGCTGGCCCCACAAACCTGAGCCATGGTGTGCTGCCTGCGCTGGGAACCTCAACCCTGTGTGAAGGGGGCTCAAGAGCATTGAGTGGACTCAGTGCCCAAGATCCAGGGTCTGGCAGCCCATGGGAAGAGCTGCCATGGGATGGCGGGGAATAGCAGTTTTGCCTTTTTCCTCTGGTTCCTGGTACATAGCTCCTTAAACTCTTGGAATATCCAAAATAGTAAGAGTGCCTGTTGCATGCTAATAAAGACGACTGGGGTCAGGCTTTCGGCATAGCTGTTAAGCTGCTACTTGGGACAACCGCATCCCATTTTTGCACACTCGTGCTGGGGAGTGCCTGGTCCTGGCTTCAGACCCAGCTCCCTGATGGCACCCTGGGAGGCAGCAGATAATGGCTCAAGTCCTCAGGTCCCTGCCACCCATGTGGAGTCCTGGATGGAGACCCAGATGGCATCAGAGCTGGACAAGCGATATTGAGAGAAGACACTGGCACCTGCCGTGCCGGAAGTGGGGTGAACCAGGCGTTTGGTGTGAGGGCTGCTAGGATGCCCCCAGCACACATCCCAGAGCCTGGGTTTGGTACCTGGCCCCTGACTCCCGCTTCCTGCCAAGGCACACCCTGGGGGGCAGGCAGCAGTGAGGGCTCAAGTCCCTGGGTCCCTGCCACCCACATGGGAGACCCGGATGGAGCTCCTGGTTCCTGGTTTTGGCCTGGCCCAGCCCCAGCCATTGCAAGCATTTGGGGGAATGAACCAGAGGGTAGGCACTCTCTCTCTCTCTCTCTCTCTCACTCTCTCACTCTCTCCCTCTCGCTCTCGCTGTCTGTCTGTCTCACTGCCTCTCCCACAAATTAATTATGTGGAAAAGGAACTTCCTCGGCACACAGCAGCCGTCAGCACTCGCATGCCCTGGCGGACAGACTCTGTCTGGCTGATGCACCTGCTCCAGGCTCGGGCCTGTCCCCTGCTCTGATGCACACTCTGCCTGCTGTCTGCTCGCAGCATGCCGGTGAGGCTGGGCTGCACGTGCCCGGGTCACAGAGGCCCCGGGCGGGCAATGGCTGGCTCCCAGTCATCCATGGGTCCCCGACGGGCCTCGTACCCTGGAACCCAGGGGGGTTTCCTGACCACACAGGTTGAGGATGTGAGTAGTAGACAGCTAGCTCCCGGCTCGGACCTGGTCCAGTACCAGCCATTGTGGGCATTTGGGGAGTGAACCAACCAGCAGATGGGAGCTCACTCTCTCTCTCTCTCTCTCTCTCTGCCTCTGTGGATTATGGTTAATTCTTACTCAAATGAGATCACACTCACCTATTGCCGACAGCTTGCTTTCTTCTATGTTTACCGCTGTAATGGTGATGAGTAGTTAGCATCTAAGCACTGTGTAGGTATTAATTTACTGAATTAACCCACATTAGAAACCAGGGGAGATTCACAGTGTTATTAGCTCCATTTCAAAGACGAGGTTCTGTTAACAGTTACATAATGTTCCGCCGTAAGGATGTATCAACATACATTGGATGCTTCTCCCATTTTTCCGAATGACAAGCAGTGCTGTGAGGGACATGGATGAGATTAAAAAATTATTTATTTGAAAGGCAAAGTAATAGAGAGAGGAAGGGAGAGGGAGACAGAGATCTTCTATCTGTTGGTTCACTCCCCAAATGCCTGCAACAGCCAGGGCTGAGCCAAGGCTGAAGCCAGGAGCCAGGAGCTTCATCCGGGTCTCCCACGTGGGTGGCAGGGGCCCAGGGACTTGGGCTGTCTATGGCTTCCTTCCCAGGTGCGTTAGCAAGAGGCTGGATTGGTAGCAGAGTAGCCGGGACTCAAACCAGCGCTCTTATATGGAATGCCAGCGCCAAAGGCCGTGGCCTAACCTGTTACGCCACAACACTGGCCCCAAGGGTCCTTTTCAATGAATTAATTTCAATTTTAATTAAGTTTCAATAAATAAATTAATTAGATTTTAATTAATTTCAATTTTATTGGAAATGCAGAATAACACACACACACCAGAGAAAGGGAGAGTGGTCTTCCATCCACTGGTTCATTCCCACAAAAGCCTGCAACAGCCAGGGCTGGGCCAGGCCAAAGCCAGGGGCCCAGAACTCACTCCGGATCTCTTACAGGGGTGGCGGGGCCTCAGGTCCCCAAGCCACCGTCTGCTGCCCATTGGCCGCGTTAGCAGGAAGCTGGGACTGCACACAGAGCCAGGACTTGCGACCGGCACTCTGCTCTAAGGGGCCGTCTCATCCGCTGTCCCAATCGCGCACCGTAAGGGAACTGTTTTCACAGGACAAATTCCTAGAAGTGGGTCCAAAGGCATCGCCGTTTTTGGCTTTGTAGATGTTGCCTAATGGCCTCTGAAAATGGACTCCCGCGTCACCCGTTTGCCGTCCTAGGAGGGGAAATCCCTACCGCCCTGCCCTCGCCTGCCCTGGTCACTCCAGCCTCTTCCTGGCCGGGAGTGGCGTTTAAGGCTGCCGGCAAAGCTGCCCCAGAAAGGGAGGATTCTGGGCGAAGGACTCTGCCAATCACGTGACACCACATAGCCTGCTTCCTGCCCAGCGGGCCCCGCCCACCCCTCACCCCATGGGGGGCTTCCTCTCCTCTACGATTTAACCCTCGTCGCCAAAAAGTACAAGGTCTGGAATTAGAGACGTAGGTTACCTGACCGTGACCTCAGCCAAGGAACGGGGTTGCTCTGAGCCTGTTTGCCCATTGATAGCTTGAGGTAGTTAGAGACGCCTGCCCTGGAGGCTGGCCCTGGCACCGTGGGACACCTGCGTCCTATTCCGGAGCGCCTGGGTGTGCGTCCTGATTCCAGCTTCCTGATGTTGCACAACCAGGGAGGCAGAAGGTGGTAGCTCAGGTGCTTGGGCCCCTGCCACCCCTGTGGGACACCCGGGTGGAGTTCTAGGCTCCTGGCTACAGCCTGGCCCAGCTCTGGCCCTTGTGGGCTGCCTGTCTCGGTCTCTGCTTTTTTTTTTTTTTTTTTTTTTAAAGGATTTATTTATTTATTTGAAAGGCAGAGTTACAGAGAGGCAGAGAGAGAGAGTTCTTGCATCCGCTGGTTCACTCCCCAAATGTCTGCAAAGGCCGGAGCTGCGCCAACCTGAAGCCTCATCCAGTCTTGCCCCAGAGACAGGAGGAAGGAATGTGTCAGAAAATGTGGTTCCTACCAAGGGCCAGGCAGAGGCCAGGGGTTTCGCTGGGTGAACGGGAACTCACTCTCACGGGGTGTGGGAGGCGGGAGGAGAGGCAGGGACTGAGGCTGGCGAGGCCTGGGAGGAGGTCCGTGATGTTCCCAGAGAGCCCCTGGGCCTGGTCTGGTTCTTCTAGGTTCTTCTGGGGAGGGGATGCCCACGCTGCCGCCTGGCAGGCCAGCGTCCTCGCCTCCAGCAGGGGGCGCCCTCAGCACCATGGACAGACCCCGGTCCGTTCCCTCTCTCCCACCCTGCTGGTCAGTTTTTCCCAGCAGCGGCTCTGCCTGTAGCCCAGCGGCCTGGGGCAGGTGCCCAGGGGGAGCAGCCTGATGTCTGCTGGGGGAGGCAGCCCTGGGCTCAGGTCTCAGCCCTGCCACCTGCCGTCTGTCAGAACCTTGGGCTGGTCATTTTTTTTTTTTTCAATCTGCTATGGGTATAGAAAATGCAATTAAAAATTACTACACGGCCGGCGCCGCGGCTCACTAGGCTAATCCTCCGCCTAGCGGCGCCGGCACACCGGGTTCTAGTCCCGGTCGGGGCGCCGGATTCTGTCCCGGTTGCCCCTCTTCCAGGCCAGCCCTCTGCTGTGGCTAGGGAGTGCAGTGGAGGATGGCCCAGGTGCTTGGGCCCTGCACCCCATGGGAGACCAGGAAAAGCACCTGGCTCCTGGCTCCTGCCATCGGATCAGCGCGGTGCGCCGGCCGCAGCGCGCCGGCCGCGGCGGCCATTGGAGGGTGAACCAACGGCAAAAGGAAGACCTTTCTCTCTGTCTCTCTCTCTCACTGTCCACTCTGCCTGTCAAAAAAAAAAATACTACAAAAATTATAGTGAAGAATATGCAAACTCTAAGCCCAAGGTTTATTATTAATTATTATTGTATTCAACAGACATACGATTACCCTATTAAACTGATCTAAGCGTCTCTGAACACTCTCAATTTGCCAATCTGTCTTGTGAGCTGGTAACAGGAGCCAAGGCTCAGTGTTGACCCACGGGCTGCCCTCTGAGTGGCACTGGTGCAGGTCCCTCAGTGTCCCCTGGAGCCAGGCCTCAGGCCGGGGCCAGGGGGTGGCTGCCAGCACCCCGCTGTCAGCCCGGCCAGCTGAGCGACTTCCACTCTGGTTCCCTGGCCCTTGCTTTTGCCCAGCCATCCGGCTCTAGAATACCGTCTCCATCTCTGCACGTATAATTCCCACTTTGTCCTTTCTTGAGAGAGAGAGAGAGAGAGAGAGAGAGAGGACGCTCCTATTCCCAAATGCTCTAGTTCCCTCCTCAAAATGCCCACCGCGGTGAGCAAGGGATTGGAAGCCAGGAACTCAGTCCAAGTCCGTGTGTAGGCAGCAGGAAACCGTCACTTGAGCCATTGCTGCCGCCTCCCCAGGTCCACATTAGCAGAAATCAACCCTGGGTGCTCCGGTGCGGGGCAGGGAAGCCTGAACTGATAGACCACACACCTGCCCCCACTTCGTCTTTTGAGGCTCACCTCAAGCCTTCTTTCTTCTTGAGAGCCTTCCCTGGCCGCCAGTCTGCAAATGGGCCCCCCTCCTCCCTCCCTCCCTGAATTTCCACCACCCTGGGTGCTCTTTCTGCCCCATGAGCCATGCTCACTCTGTCAGCTCGGCTGCCCGGATGCAGGAGTCACCTTGCAAACATCTGAATACGGCCCTCGCTGCTGGCTTACTCGGGGGCTTGATGTCAGCTGGACGTTCATGTGGACAGATGGACGGATGGAAGAAAAAATGGGTGGGTGGGTGGATGATGGATGGGTGGGTGGATTGACAGGCAGATGAATAGACGTATCGGTGAGCAGACTGAGTGTTGGGGGATGGGTGGGTGATTAGGCAAATGCTTAGACGGACAGACAGAGGGACAGACAAATGGATGTAGGCGCACGGCTGGCTGCTCACTTGATCTCTGCCCTACTGTGCTTCCTCCTCTCTCACTCCTCTTCCACACTCACAATCTCAAAGTGTGGAGACTGACGGGTATCAGTCAGGACCAGAAGCATTCTTCCGAGGCTTGGTTTGGGCTTGATATTTGCATCAGTTTTAAGAGTACAGGAGCTGGCCGGCGCCGCAGCTCACTAGGCTAATCCTCCGCCTGTGGCGCCGGCACCCCGGGTTCTAGTCCTGGTCGGGGCACCGGATTCTGTCCCGGTTGCCCCTCTTCCAGGCCAGCTCTCTGCTGTGGCCCGGGAGTGCAGTGGAGGATGGCCCAAGTGCTTGGGCCCTGCACCCCATGGGAGACCAGGAGAAGTACCTGGCTCCTGCCTCCAGATTGGCACAGTGCCGGCCGTAGCAGCCATTTGGGGGGTGAACCAACGGAAGGAAGACCTTTCTCTCTGTCTCTCTCTCTCTCTCTCCATCTAACTCTGGATGTCAAAAAAAAAAAAAAAAAGAAAGAAAGAAAAAAAAGAAAAAGAAATACAGGAGTGATGCAACTGTTCCTTGTAGTACTTGCAAAGGCAAGAGGTGTCTTCACTCCTAAGGGGTTAGGACTCTGATTCTGTAGTAGAACAACGAGGTGCATCTGATATGCAAATGAACCTGGTCCAACTTCCTCCCTTTAATGTAGTCGTATGCATCCATTTCTCTTTTTTGGATTGTTCACCCATCTTCCACATGGGTGAACACTCTTGTCCATGTCACCATCACCCACTGCTTCAGTTCACTCAACAGTCTCAAAAGATTTATTTACTTCCACCTGCTGGTTCACTCCCCAGATGGCCACAACAGCAGAGGCTGAGTCAGGCTGAAGCCGGGAGCTTCATCCTCCATCCTCATCTCCCATGTGGATGCAGGTGTCCAAACACCCAGGCCACCTTCTGCTGCTTTGCCTAGGACATTAGCAAGGAGCTGGCTCGGAAGTGGGACAGCTGGGTCTTGAACCAGTGCCTGTATGGGATGCCAGTGTTGTGGGAGGAGGTTTAACCCACTGCGCCACAATACCAGCAGCTCCAGTGATTCTTGCTGGATCTGGAGTTATGCAATCGTCATCGCTAACCCCAGAGCATTCCCATCGCTGGAAAAGAAACCCTTTACCTATTGGCAATCCCTCCCCCTTCCCCTGCCCCCAGTCCCTGGCAATTGCTGGTCTACTTTTATCTCTGTGGATATCAAAAGTGCCAAATATTTGTCTTTCTATATTTATTAACTTTTGCAAAAGTAAAAATAGCACAGGGCAGGTATTTGGCCTGACGGTTAAGATGCCCGTGTCCCATGTCGGAGGACCCAGGTTCGAGTCTCAGCTCCGGTTCCTGACTCCAGAGTCCTGCTATGCCCGCCCTGGGAGGCAGTGGTGATGACTCAAGCTGAGGTTCCTGCTGCCCATGTGGAGGACCTGGATTGAGCTCCCAGCTCCCTCTGGCTTAACCCCAGCCGTTACAGACTGCTGGGGAGCCATAGCAGGTGGAAGTTCTCTCTGTCCATCTGCCTGTGTTTCTCTGCCTTGCCCAAAACCCAAAAACCTAGACCTAGGACAGCCACTACACACTTCACAAAGTTTGTGTGTGTGTCTGGGCAGACAGACAGATGAATAGCACCTTGTGGGTAGATGAGGCATAGCTCATTCATCCACTCTAACTCATTCACTCAATGAATACAATTGTCTTTCAGTATGTGAGGGGGTTGGTCCCAAGAGTCCCTTCTATTTAAAGCGCAATATTTGCGTAGAACCTCCGCACACCCTCTCTATCTCTTTTTTTTTTCCAAAGGGAAAATGTTTATTGACGGGGAAATCTGACAGGCAGGAGAGAAGAGCTAAAGAAGAGAGAAGGAGGGAGAGAGATCAAGAAAGAGGGTGAAGAAAGAGAGTGATCTGGAGAGAGCGCCTGTGAGTGGAGCAGGTCCTGTTATGGCTTTGCAGGGGTGGGGTGGGGTGGGGGTGGGGCAAGGAAGGAGGAGCAGAGAGTCCCATTAGGTGGGGGTGGAGCTGACACCTGTGGTTGGGCCATCTGGTCACCTGGCTTGTAGCAATGGCGGCAGGGGCCAGAGCCTAGGAGGGTGTCCAGGGTGTAGATTGAGACACGGATAAGACCATGCCATTTAACCAACATTCCCCCCTTTTGTTTTTCATAAAGCAAGTGTTCTATCGGATTACATCAGCCCCAAAAGTCCAGGAGGGTGGAGGGACGATGATCTGTCTTTTAGGGCTACTTCCGGCTCATATGGGGGTGACGAGTTACTCTCTGCTGGCATGGGGCACTGCCTCAAGCTGCGATCTCCTGGCGCACACCCTCTCTTAGTTGACTTACAATGCACAACACCAAGCTAATGTGAAGCAAACAGTTGTTACACTGTATTGTTTAGGGAGTGAAGGCAGAAAAAAAAAAGTCGGTTTATGTTCAGTACATGTGCCAATTGTTTTCCGAATTTTGATTGAATGCATGGATGCAGAGCCCTCTGATAAGGAGGCCTGACTGTTCTTATTTGCATATTTTTACTATCAAGGGAAAGGGGATGCAGAGATAAATGTGATTTCTTGCTTTTGGGAGTCTGCCATCTAGTGGCAAAGAGAGGCATGTGCGCCATTCACTGGGAGCAGAAGAAAATTAGAGTTGCGTTGGACAAGGGGGGTGGGGTGGGCGCTCAGACGGGAACCTGGAAAAGTTCAAAGGTGGATGGGATTCTGAGAGCCAAGGCCAGGAGGCTGGGAGGGCCTGGTATCAGATGGGGTCGCAGGAGACAGCCAGGACAGCCATGCACTGCGTTCAAGACTTGTTAGTAGAGAGGCCACCGACTCTGGGAAGTGGGTAACCTAGCCAGACCTGCTCATGCCTGCAGGCAAGGACACCCTGCACCAGCTGGGAGATGTCAGGGTTTGTGCACATCCCCGCATTTATGTTTTTTTATATTTATTTATTTGTTTGAAAGGCAGAGTTACAAAGAGGCAGAAGCAGAGAGAGAAAGAGAGGCATCTTCCAGCCATACTCCCCAAATGGCTGCAATAGCCGGAGCTGGGTTGATCCGGAGCCAAGAGCTTCTTCCAGGTCTCCCAAGCAAGTGAAGGGGCCCAAGCACTTGGACCATCTTCTGCTGCTTTCCCAGGCCATAGCAGAGATCTGGATCGGAAGAGGAGCAGCCGGGACTTGAACCGGTGCCCATATGGGATGCCAGCACTGCAGGCGGTGGCTTTACCCACTGTGCCACAGTGCTGGCCCCTGTCCCCACATTTCTTGCACACCTTAGGTTGTTTTGCTTCCAATCACACAGATGGGGCTTATCTTCCCGGTGCAGAAGCCTTCAGAGGTGTGATCTGGGCTGAGGCTGGGAGAAACAAAGTGCAGGTGTGGGCGGACAGGCAGCTGACAGTGACGGGCGAAAGAGGGGAGCTGGGTGGGGGAGAGGAGGCACCCCGCTCACTGGAGAGGGGAGTGTCTCTGGGACCTGTCTCTACCAGGGACACTGGTAGAGAGGCTTTGAACCAAGGATGGCAAAAGCTGCAGGAATTTGGCATCCAGTTTTACAGTGAGACAGACATTCCCCCCTTCCCCGGGGGGCCTTTTGTGGTGGAGCCAGTGGCAGAGCGACATGGGGAAGCCCCCACCCCTCACAGCTACTGATCTGTTCCTCTTAGCATTGTGCCCCTTCTCTGAGTGAGTGCCCTGGGCTGGGGTTCAGATCTTAGGATACAGGAGGCCTGCCTCAGGGCCCATGGCAAGGAATGACCCTGCTGGAGCCAGCAGCCACAAAAGGTGGCTCAGGGGTGGCTCTCAGAAACCTGGCACAGCCCCTCCAGAGGAGGGGCACGCCGTGGGCCCTGGTGGCCTCCTCAGCGTTGGCAGGAGGGGGCTGGGAGAACGTGGGTCTCCCGCGGGGGCTCCTGGGAATGTGAGGTGACTCCGAGCAGAGCCTTGGGTCGCCTTTCACTCCCTCAGCCAGTTCCTGGGGCCCTCCGGGGGAGGTCCTTGGTGATCCTGGGGGCCGTGTTGACCCCACCAAGGGCTGGGTGTGTGCTGGGACTTTTCCCGAGACTCCTCATAGGCCCCCTCCCCACCCGCTTCTCGGGGCCCTCACTGGACGGTGCACAGAGCACACCACCCGCAAAGCCAAGGCCGGTTCACATCGGCCTCCAGCCCTCTCCGGTTCCCACTGGGGTCGGGCCTGGCTGCGAATTCTGGAATCTTCTATAACTAGTCTTTGGGAATGTTTGTGCCTCTGAGCCCCACCTGGAGGCACGAACCACATGTACAGAGCCGCTGGCGGGCCCAGGTGTGAGGGTCCACCCTTCAGGACACCTCTTCATCAAGACCCGAGGGGTCAGCCAAGGGCAAAGGCGGGAGGCGGAGATTCGGAAAGACCTGCGAGCTCCAGGTAGCGTAGATCTCACCTGGCGCAAGAAGTAAGTTAGGACGAGCCCCGCCCACCCTCCGGCGCGCCGGGGCGGGGCTCCGAGCCACGCCCACCAGGGCGGCCTATCGTCGTGTGGGGGCGTGGCTATGCTAATGAGGCCGGGAGAGCTGAGCGAGCCGCTGCTGCCGCTCCGCCCGAGCCCCGGCGAGGCGACCGCGGACCGCGGCGGTGGCCATGGCCCGGGCGCTGGCAGGTCTGGCCGCGGACTTACAGGTCCCGCGGGCCGCGCCCAGCCCGGACTCGGACTCGGACACCGACTCGGAGGATCCGAGTCCGCGGCGCAGCGCGGGAGGCCCGCTGCGCTCGCAGGTCATCCACAGCGGACACTTCATGGTGTCGTCGCCGCACAGCGACTCGCTGACCCGGCGGCGCGACCAGGAGGGGCCCGTCGGGCTTTCCGACTTCGGGCCGCGCAGCATCGACCCCACACTCACTCGCCTCTTCGAATGCTTGAGCCTGGCGTACAGGTGAGGGCCGCTCCGGAGAGCCCCGCGCCCAGCCCAGGCCCAGCCCCCGGCTGCACCCCGAGACTCCAGTCACACTCCGGGCACCTTCTTTCCCCGGACCCGGGTGTCCCCTGACCCCGCTTCAGCCTACGCACCCCCCCCCTCCATGGGACCTGTGCACCCCAGGCTTCCATTCAGGCCGCCGTTACCTCTTGCTCGGGCGCACGCACCTGCCTTCCGCCTCGACCTCCGCAGGCCCACGACGCGCTCCTCTCCCCGCTCCAGACAAACGCCAGGCATCGCTGGCGCTCCCAGAAGCTTGGGCCACCCCCGCCGGTGCCCGCCCTCCTCCTGGGACCACCATTTGGGCACCTGTCGATACCCCGAGTGGCGCCCGTGGTGGCCGCAGTGCACAGCCCCTATGTCCGACGCCGACCCAGTCTCTCGTCCATCGCGTCCCCAGCGCCCGGACCCCTCCTTCTTGACCTGCTAGGTCACGGGTGGCGGGAGGAGAGCGCCTGCCCCAGGCGGGCCAGAGAGGCTGTGCACGCCGAGGTCCCGCAGGAGGCGCGCGGGTCGGGTGCTGGGGGAGGCCTGGGCTTCCCCGCACCAGTCTGAGCGCCTCCCGTGGCCTGGGGTCCCTGCCGGCCGCTCCCCAGGACTTCTGCTCCACGCCCTGCGCCCCTCCGGAGGGCGCGAACCAGGGTCCTGGCCCAGAGCCCTGGAGCAAAGTTCCTCGGAGCTGAGGGACCAGGATAAATTATCAACCGAAGACCTTAGGGAAGCGAGGGGGGATCGGCGGGCCTTGATCTTTCCTCTGCAAATAGCCCTCTTCCTCCGCGGCGCCTCCTCCCCTTCTGAGAACCGCTGGCTACCGAGGGGCGCGGACCACGGAGGAGCAATGCCTGCCCCTGGCCGCATTGGCCCAGCCCAGACCCCATTGGCTGGAGGCGACGTAACCTTGGCCCACACGTTCTGGCCCCGGGCCCAGGTCATGTTGCAACCTGATAGTCCAGGACGCCAGACCGATGTGGAAAGTTCAAATTCCCGTCCCTTTCCCCCTCCCCTCCCTCCTCCCCGGACATCACGGGACTGCTTGGGACAGGGCATCTGAGGTCCCGGCACTAGGGATGAGCCCTTCTCCCCACACTCCCACCCACTGCCCCCACTTCATCTTCCTGCTTTGCAGTGCTATGCACCTGCTCTGCTGGGACTGGCACACCTGTGTCCCACCCCAGGCCAAAGGGTGATCAAAAAGGGGAGGGTGGGGGAGGGGGTGAGACAAGCCCCAGTGCACCCCAGAACTGCCACCCCTGAGTCACCAGCAGGAGGATGGAGCCAGGGGCAGCTGGAGTGGGCAGAGACTGTGTGTTTTCCCACTCAGAACATTCAACCTCTGGTCTTCCCCAGGGTGCAGACCCCAGCATCAGGGAGGGGAGTGGCTCAGTCTCGGAGGGGCCTTTGGATTCCCTGCCCCCACTTGGCGGAGGGAAAATGATGAAACTCAGACTGGGTCAGTGTTTAAGCCCTCAAAGCACGCCCCCCCCCCCCAGTTATAGGGGTTTCCCTGGAACAAGAGATGGCAGAAGTCCAGTGTCCCGTGTGGGACAAAAAGTCCAGGAGGTGGTGGGAGGTGCTCTGGCCTGCAGAGGTGGCCGCCTTTGACCTCCCGCGGGGCAGTGTGGGCAGAGGCAGGACTTTCCAGGAGGCTGTGTTCCACGGCCTGCGTGGGCGGACGCCCGGGGGCTGGGTTGTAGGGGGGAGTTCTGGGCGCTCCAAGGAAGCACTTGTTCATGGTCAGAGCTGACTGCCCAATGCAGACACGGACCTCAGGCTGTCGGCAGGGGCGGGGCGGGGGGTGGTGGAGCAAGCAGGAAAGGAGACCCTACCAGGTATCGAGGGCGGGGAGGGGTGCGGTACCTGAACCAGAAGTCCCTACGCTTTTTCCCTCAAGGGTCTCCAATTTTTTGAGCCATCCCAAGAAGGTCCTTGCATTGGCTCTAAGCTTCTGGCTCCAGGCCTCTCCTCCCCCTACAGCCCGTCTCCCCTGTCTCCTGTTGAGACAGATGGTGTTTATCTAACTCCAGGGGGGAAGGGGCTGGGGCGCTGGGCTTACCACTGCATTTGGGCAATGAGCCCTATCATGCCCTCCCCACCGCTGCTACCCCAAAGCAAACACAGGAGCTTGGAGACCAGAGAGGAGAAGGGACCAATGACTCACATGCCCAGGGGACAGTGGGAGAAGGGGCCGAGGAGTCAGACTGGCACCCCCACCCCTTGACCCCCCAGCATGGGAGACGGGCCCCTGGACACAGCGGGCCTGGCTTCCCCTGGCACTGGGGCCTCGGTGTTTCCCACTGAGCAAGGGGTGGAGGCGGGCACAGGGGACTCGCGCACTGCCCTGGCTCACAGCCCCTGAAGAAGGAGGGAGGGAGAGCCGGGCCGACTTCCTGGAGGCAGCAGACTTGGCCCGTGACTCTCAGGCCCCTGGGTGTCAAGCCCCACCCCCGTGGACTGGATGGACCACTAGGATTAGGCTCAGGGCCACATCTCCCCAGCACCTTTCTTGGGGGTCCTGGGGATCCATTGTCTTACACACACACACACACACACACACACGCCCTGCACTGTGCCCGGATTGCCACAGGGCACAGGCCAGGCGGTGACTGGCAGCTCTCAGGCCACCTCTGCTCTGTCCAGGCAAACTGGCCCCGAAGCCACAAGGCTGGGACGGCCCCAAGCCTGCCCCTTGCCCTTCCCAACTCTCTCCTCTCTCTCTCTCTCTCTTTTTTTTTTTTTTTTTTTTTTGACTCTTCTTAGTAAGAAAGGGGCCTGAGAACTGTCTCCAGCCAAGCCTACCAGACAGCGCTGGCCCGGCCAAGGACTGGGCTCATCCACAGTCCGGGCCTGGCCGTCTCTCCTGGTGGGACGCTCTGAGCCCAGGGCTGACCCCGGGGCCACGGTTGCGGGCAGGTTAGATGAGGGGCATTGGTGGTGGTCCCTGGTCCCTGGCCCCTGGCCCCTGGCAGCCCCTGCACAAGCTCCCGGCCGCGCGTGTCTGACCCGCCTGCTCTCTTCCCGGCCACAGCGGCAAGCTGGTCTCCCCAAAGTGGAAGAACTTCAAAGGCCTCAAGCTGCTGTGCCGAGACAAGATCCGCCTGAACAACGCCATCTGGAGAGCCTGGTACATCCAGTGTGAGTGGGGCAGCACGGCGGGCGGGGGTGGGGGGCGCCCCTGGCCAGCTCCCGGCCCCCCAGAGGGGTGAAGGGCATATCGTCCCCAAGGGCGCTTTCCGCTGGAGGTTCAGATTTGGGGAACTGTTCAAGGCCCGTTCGCGGGTCCCCTTCGTCCACACGGGTGCCTTGCACGCCCGGGCATGGGGTGGGCACTGGACGCTCTTGGGGACCATTGCATCACTCCTCAGAGAGATCACTGACCCTGAGCCGACCTCTCCCACCTTTTCCTTGACGCTGTCACTCAACACCTAGCCAGTGCCCGCCTTGGAGATTTGGGAAGAGGGGCACCCCACCCCTCCGCCGCTGCCAGAGAGGCCATGGTGGGTCGTGGAAGCGATTCTGGGCTTCAACTCCTCTTGGAGCTGGTTTGCCAGCCAATCTCTGCCCCCTTGCTGGCTGTGTGACTTCAGGCAGGTGGCCTAACCTCTCTGAACTCTCCTCATCTCTAAAGCAAGGCCAGTGGTCCTACCTGCCATGCTTGGTATGAGATGGCACTAAGTCCCTGTTCCATAGTGGATGCATCCCTGTAGGAGGTCACATTCATTCATCTGGGGACACCCCAGTCCTGAGGCAGGCAGCCCTGGGCTGGGACCCTGTCCAGTACAGTTAGGTCCAGCGCTGAGCCGGGGACATACTCCCGCGGTGAGGGGGGAGGGCAGCCCACATGCTGTTGTCTGTCCTGGCCCCCGCTGGCCTCCATCCAAGCAGAGAGAGAGGGTGTGAGTTTTCTGGTTCCTGTCCATCTGCGTGTTGGGCAGCTCCACAAATCCACGGGATTAGAGACTTCCTAGCAACCCTGGGAGATCCGTCTGACGGGCTCCCATTCTGTGGAGGAGCCACTGAGACCCGGAGAGTGAGCGATTGCTCGTTCAGGTTCACCAAGCAGAGCAGGAGCAGCCTCGGGGGGCTGGCTGGCCGGCCGGGGTTCTCCCGCTCAGAGCCCAGTGCTCCCGGCTGGCTGAGAACACAGCGCCTGGCAGAGCCAGGACTGAGGTGTGCAAGAGCAGATGGCTTTCTGGATGTCTCCTCTGGGCCTCTGCTGTTCCTGAGTCCTTCAGACAGGCCCTGGCAAAGCTGGGAAGCTGAGAAGCCGGGGCGGGGCAGGGGGGAGTCAGTGTGCCCCCTCCCCATCAGCTGCCTGGGACACACACCCATCACTCTGCTGAGCCGCGGTGCCTCCTTCCCCCCAGCCCAGACAGACCTCCCTCTGCAGCAGTTACTACTCAGGTTGCTGGCAGCCCCCAGGCTGGGCACGCCCTATCTATGTGGCCTCAGTTGTCTTTGCTGATCTGTAAAATGGGTATAAGTGTAGGTCTGAGGGCTCGCTGGAGGCAAGGAGTGATGATGATGACGATGGTGGTGGTAGTGACAGCTCACAGCGGGCACATGAGAAACAGCAGGACACCCCCCCCCACAATGACAAAGGCTTGGAAATGAACTTCAGGGGAGGGGGCTCAGCCGGGAAGGCCCTGCCACCCCCTCTCTGCAGGCTCCCGGCCCCCAGCTCCTGTCCTGGTCACCCCCACACTCAGCTCCCAGGGCACTTTGCACTCCTCCCCCTCCCGGGCAGGCGGGAGGACTTTCCACCTTGCGCTGTCTGTTGTTTGTTTGCTCTCCTTATCTCTGCACACAACTGGAGCTGCGAACAGCACCCTGCTTCAGCTCTGTATCCCCCTGTATCCCCATCTCAGTATTTGTCCCTGAGAAAGGCTTAGGCGGCCAACTTATCAGCATTCAACAAAGCCTGCCCCCCCCCCTCAGCCCCAGGAAGCCACAGTGTCGCAGCCCTTCTGTCCAGAACACGGGCTGCCCAGGCCTGGGCAGGGGGCAGCCAGGCTGCGCCCACTCAGCCCTTCGTCGGCGGCTCGCTTCGTCCTCGCTGGTGCTCGCTTCTTCACTGGGGGAAGCGGGGAGCCCTCCCTTGCTCTCAGCCCTGAGAGTCTGCACCCCCACAGGCTCATCCCCTTTACTTTCTGTCCAAGCCAGTCCCAGCAGCCAGGACCAAGCCCCCGCCCCTCCGCCGGGTCCTGCAGAGCTTTGTAAACGGTGCCAAAGGTCTGGCTAGGGGTGGGCGTTACAGCAGCGGCTAACACACCGCTAGAGCTCTGGGTTCCGGCTTCCCGCTAATGTGCACCCTGGGAGGCAGCGCGTGATGGCTCAAGGACCTGGGTCCCTGCCACCCACGTGGGAGACCCGGATGGAGCTACAGGCTCCTGGCTTCAGCCTGGCCCAGCCCTGGCTGTTTGCAGGCATTTGGGGGAGTGAACCGGCAGATGAGAGATGTCTCTGTGCCTTTCAAATAAGTTAAATTAAAAAAGAAAAGTCGCCGGCGCCGTGGCTCAATAGGCTAATCCTCCACCTTGCGGCGCCGGCACACCGGGTTCTAGTCCCGGTCGGGGCGCCGGATTCTGTCCCGGTTGCCCCTCTTCCAGGCCAGCTCTCTGCTAAGGCCAGGGAGTGCAGTGGAGGATGGCCCAAGTGCTTGGGCCCTGCACCCCATGGGAGACCAGGAAAAAGCACCTGGATCCTGGCTCCTGCCATCGGATCAGCGCGGTGCACCGGCTGCAGCGGCGGCCATTGGAGGGTGAACCAACGGCAAGGGAAGACCTTTCTCTCTCTGTCTCTCTCTCTCACTGTCCACTCTGCCTATCAAAAAAAAAAAAAAAAAAAAAAGTCCCGGCC